ATGTCACTTTTGATCCTTGGGATTTTGCTACTAAGTCTGCTTCATGCTGGGCCTTCACATTTCACTTGTACATAGTGGACAACTGGACTTGCCTAGGCAGCATCCTCTCACTCGGTTTCATCTTCTAGTTTTAGTATTGAGGTGCCCTGGGAATGAAGTCCAAATAATGCTGTGGGTTTGCTAGATGTCCTTGGAGCTCCTTGGTTTTCCAGGACCCCAGGACCCTCTTCTGACAAATGATATTAGTGAACACATACTCCCAGGCACATATCTCACTATTTTGAGAACCAGAATGAAAGCTGGTAGGTAGGCTTTGGAGTCTCCCAAATCATTATCCTAGAGGAGCAGGTGCTGTCCCTGAGCTGTGCTCGGGGCTTCACATGGCTGCAGCACAGCAGTGGATGGACCAGTCTCTTCTGTTGTAGTTGGCACATCCAACATCTGTTTCTTTAGCTCCCAGATCAAGACTTGGCAGTCAGGAGGCTTCAGGGAATGGTGGCACAGTGAACAAAGGCTGAAAGCATCACCAAGGGGAAGGGATCCAGGCACCTTAAGTTACTTCCTGACTGCAAAGACTCACCTGTGTTGTTCATGTCCATTTACCCAACTCACAAACTAATGCTCAGAATATAGTAAATCCTCAGTAAATCTCTGCTCTGGAAGCCTGTGAGGCAAAGATACAAGGAAACCAAAATCCTAGGGGAAACAAAAGTTCTCAGCCAATACTTTCCCATTGCTTAATCCCACTCTCCCTGGGATGCAAGGATAGACTTCAGAGGCCCTGTTAACAGTATTTATTATTCTCCGCTTCATACAAGCCGCGTCTGCCACCCGCCCCCCACCCTACAATCCAAAAGAGCACCCAGCCACCCCCCTTGTACTGTCCCAGCCCTGCTCCTATTTCCCTGTCTGGCCAGATTCCCAAGGAAGGGGGAGGGACAGTTTGGGCCCATCTCCACCAAAGCTTATTGGGGGCAGAATGCTGCTGGAGGGGGCACCCATGAGGGTTACAAATGAGGGTTGGACGGAGGGTCAAGTTCAGTGTCTGATGAGATGAGGGAAGGGCAGAGAGGTCCAAGAAGGGAGTGATTCAGTCTTGAATTTGTAGAGCATGGGCTCCAAAGGAGGTCAGTCCATCCAAAGTCCCAAAGGATGGGGTATTGGCTACAAGGGGGAAGGTCTGATCACCAGCCCGGGAGGGGTAGTCGGGAAGGTCATCTGATTGGAGTGATGGATGGGAAAACTCCGGTCACGCATCCTTCCCAGCCAAGGTGCCCGCCCCTGCTCCAGGCCCCCCGAGGCCCTCAGCTTTGTGTGCCAGGCGGTGCTTCTTGAGGCCATATGTGTTGGCGAAGCCCTCACCACAGGAGGAGCAGCGGAAGGGCCGGCCACCCTGGTGGGCCGCCAGGTGCTTACGGAAGTAGCCCGGATCCTTGAAGGCCTTGAGGCAAGCAGGGCAGCGGAGCTCAGGCCGTGGGGGCTCATGGGCGCGCTGGTGGCGCAGCACGGAGCTCAGGTAGAAAAAGCCTTTGCCGCAGTGCTCACAGCGGTAGGCGCGCTCACCCAGGTGTAGCCGCTGATGCTCCAGCAGGTTGGAGCGGTAACGGAAAGTCTTGCCGCAGGCACTGCAGCGCTGAGGCCGAGCCACAGCATGTAGCCGCCGGTGCTCTGCCAGGCTGGATGACTGCGCGAAGCGCTTGGCGCACACTCCACACTTGAAGGCCCGCTCACCGGTGTGCACCACGCGGTGCTGCCGCAGGTACCAAGAGCGCAGGAAGCCCCGGCCACAAACTCCACACCGGTAGGGCCGCTGTTCTGTGTGGCAGCGCTGATGGCGCATCAACAGAGCCGCCTCCCAGAAGCGCTTCCCACACACCGGACAGCGGAAACCTCGCTTCTGCCGGTGGCTGCGGCGGTGCAGAAGCAGATCATAGGCACCGGCGAAGCTCTGGCCGCAGAGGCCACATCCCAGGGTGCGTCGCACTAGGTGAACATACTTATGAGTCACGAGGCCCAGAAAGTGCTTGAAGCTCTGGCCACATGTGGCACAGCTGAAGCGCTCCTGGCCGGAGCTGGCGCTCCCGCCTGCACCTGCCACGGCTGCCCCACCTGCATCTTCGCCCCCAGACACCCCTGCGAGCGCCGCCACCGCTGCCCCCACCTCTCCAGCCAGCCCATTGTCCAGCACGCTGGCCGCATCAGCGCCACTGGAGCCGTCTGGAGCCTGGGGGCCACTTGGCGCGGGCGGGAGCAGGCGCTCAGGGGCAGCCTGGTGGACCAGCTTGTGCCACATGAGGTTCTCAATGAAGCCAAAGGTCTTGCCGCAGGCATCACAGCCATATGGCTTTTCGGACATGTGTGCCTCTTTGTGGCTCATGACGTGAAAGAGATCTGGGAAGTGCTCGCCACAGTCTGAGCAGGCGTAACTCAGCCCATCAGAGGGCCCTGAGGACGCAGCCGAGGACCCAGGCCCACAGGCCCCTGGCGCGCCCTGGGTGGCCGGGAGTCCAGTGGTCCCAGCCAGGGCACATGGCAGCTGAAGCCGGTGCACCTGGCGGTGGCGGGTGAGGCTCTGTGGATAACCGAAGACCTTGCCGCAGAGCTCACACTTGTAGGGCCGCTCTCGCGTGTGCACCACGTGATGCTTGCTCAAGTGGAAGGACTCACGGAAGCGCTTTCCACACACCGGACACTGGTGGGGCTTCTCGCCTGTGTGGATGCGTTCGTGGCGCTTCAGGGTCTCGCGGCGCCCAAAGCCGCGCCCACAGATGCCGCAGCAGAACGTCTTTCCAGGGACGCTGGCGCTGGAGCCTCCTGCCCCGCTGGTCCCAGCCCCACCGAGCAGCAACGGGTGTGCCCCCAGGAGCGGGACCGGCACTGCGCCATATACAACTGCCGCTGCAGCAGCTGCTGCCTTCTCGCTATCTGTGGCAGAAGGGTCAGAGGGCAGGAGATAAGGGCCAGGGGGAAAGGCGGGCGGGGGCTGCGGGACCGGGGCCGCCCCATCCTTGGGTGCATCTGCAGCGGTGGCCGGGGCGTGGGCAGCCTTGTGCCGGAGCAGGCTCTGCGGGGCCGAGTAGGACTTGCCGCACAGGTCGCATGGGTACACTGGCCGTGGCCCCCCAGCCCCCGCGCCTGCGTGTGCTGCCTGATGCTTGAGCAGGTAGGCAGCATCACGGAAGGCTTTTCCGCAGATGCCACAGGGCAGGCGCAGGAGGTCGGCCGAGTGTGTCTTCACATGCCGCTTGAGGCTCTCCCTGCGGTTGAAGCTTTTACTGCACACGGAGCATGAAAAGGGCTTCTCACCGGTGTGTATGATCTGGTGCTGGTGCAGGTGGCTGGGCTTCTTGAAGACCTTCCAGCAGAGCGGACAGGCAAATGGGCCCTCGCTGCCCCCAGTGGCTGGAGGAGGGACCCCCCCACCAGTAGGGGCAGCAGGGGCAGAGTTCCCGTCCGCTGAAGGGGCAGGCGCTGCAGGCGTGGCTGAGGGGCCAGAGGACACGGTGGTGGGGACAGCGGCGACAGCTGTCGGCGTGGGCGCAGGCGCAGAGAGGCCCAGTGGTGGGAGTGAAGCGCCGGGCTGGGGCGGCCCTCCTGCAGCAGGTGGCACATCCTTATGGCAGCGGCGGTGGCGGATGAGGCTGGACACGTGGTTGTAGGTGCGGCCGCAGACCCCGCACTCATAGGGTCTCTCCCCTGAGTGCACCAGCATGTGCTGGACCAGGTGTGAGGACTGCTTAAAGGACTTCTGGCACACGCCGCATGGGAAGCGCCGCTCCATCAGGTATTTGAGCCTCCGGAAGTAGCCCTTGTCGTCCTTGGTAGGGTCACAGGCTGCCCCTGCAGCGGGCGCTGGCGGGGTGGGTGAGGGTGCTGGAAGCTGCCCTGGGGCCCCCGTGGGCGCGCCCAGCCCCGGTGTCACTCCCGGCCCAGAGGTGGGTCCTCCTCGCTTCAGATTCCCAAACAGGTGCTGGTGTCCCGAGAGGTCAACGATGCCCCACTGTGGGGCAGGGAAGGCAGCATCAAAGAGGGGGGGAGGGGGAGCTCCAAAGGCAGGAGGCAAGGGTGGATCTGGCTTCTTGGCTTGGGAGGAGGAGGAGGAGGAGGAGGAGGATGACGAAGATGAGGAAGGTGCCTCTGCCTTGGGCTTGAAGGTCGACTGGGATTGGTAGTCATACTGGGGGGGAGGGGGTTGGGGAGGGGGCTGGGACGGGGGGCCAGGGGTACAGGGCAGGGCCGCCACAGCCTTGGCATGCTCCCCGTACAGTTCCATGGGCTCGAAACGCTGGTGGTTGAGGAATTCCAGGAAGTCGAAGGGGTAGCTCTGGAAGTGGACCCCGTCCTCTCCCCCTATGCCGCTGTTCCCGCCACCCCCGGCGCCACTGCCCGCTGGGTTTGTCTCCATCTCTGATGGGTAGGCAGACAGGAGACCCTGTGAAGAAGAGGATAGGGCTGAGGACATTGGCCAGGGCGCTGGATCTCCCCAGCAGGCAAGGGGAGCTATGTGCTGAAGCTGGGACCCATCCTCTTGCCGGATGGCCCCTTCCCCACCTGCCCTCTAAGCTCCCAGTTATTTCCACTTCCTCTCCTCTTCTCACCTCACCTCTGTGAGCCCCAACTCCCTCCTTTCTCCAGTTCATTCCACCTCTCCCCATCTTTTCTGGGGTCCTAACACACCTTCTGTTCACTCCCAGACTCTCTCCTCCAGGCACCTGTGGTAGGCCTCCTACTGTCCTCTCCCTCCTGGATTCTCATTATCCCTGCACCTAGACAACTTGGTTCTTTTTTCAAACCCTCCCAGGCCTTTCTGTGTTTGCCTGCCCCTCCCCACACACACATACACATGGGCCCTCTGTTCTCATTCCCTCAGGTGCTGCCTCTGTAAAATGGTAATAGTTTCTACTATACCAAACTATATATTTCTACTAAAATGATAATAATAATTACTAATTTACTACAGAGAGATTAAGAGCTGGACTCTGGAGCCAGAATGGCAGGTTCAATCTAAGCCCTACCATTTTGTAGCTGTGTGGCCATGGGCAAGCTATTGAACCTCTCTGTACATTCCTTTCTTCATACACAAATGGGGATGGCAAACACATGTCTACTCCACAGGGGGGTTGTGAGGATTTATAAAGTTATGCACAAGCTCTAAAGGTGGATGGTCCCGTACGCGCACTCACTAAACAGAAGGTATTATCTTGTTGTGATTGTCACTACCAGTGGTAGAAATAGGAAAGTCAAGGACAAGCCAAGAGAACTGGAAAAATGTCGGGGGTGGGAGGTGTGTGTGCCTTTTTTAATACAAGAAGGAAAGGAGAATCTGCTTGTCCAGGATAAATAAATAAATTACAGTAAGGGGGGGCTGGCATTTAGTCAGAAGGCAGCCTAATAAAAGAAAACACACAGATCTGGGCTTTGAAAGACCTGGTTTTGCATCTCAGCCGGGATGCAAACTTTCTCCATGTTTAGAATTGGGCAGTAACCACTATACTGCAGGGAGTGTCAAGGCATTCCAAGAGAATATATGTAATGAAATATATGTTATCAGCAGAGTACACTTCATCCCCTAAGCTACCTGTCCCAGCCACAACATCACACACACACAGCCAAACCCAGCAGCAGAAAACTCAGGGAGCTTGAGTCTCTGTCCTTACCTCTAGGGGGGCTTCTCCTGACCCCTCCACACCATTATTCACTTTCTGACACCTCCTTGAGGGTACTTTTCATTCTGGATTGCACCTTATATGTTGTATGCACCCCACCTCCCCCACCAGAACCTCAGCTCCTGTAATTGACCCCAAGTTCTTAGACCCTCCCAGTAGCCTCCAGAAACGCCTCCATCAAGTCAGTGGAAAGCCAGTGGGAGCAGGGCCCATGGATCTGGCCTGCTTCCCAGCTACCATCTCTCCCCTTTGGGGACCTGCCTGACTCTGTACTCAGCCCAATGTAGGGGTCATGGAGCCTGCCAAAGCCTAGGCCCCTCATCCTCTATCTGTCCAGCTTGTGCTCTCACAAGGTGAAAGGTGTCTGCTCTGCCTCCACTGTACCCCGCATCCTGGAGTTAGCTATTTTTAGTTTCCAGCTCTGAATGTCCTTGCCCTTGGATGAGACTCAACCTCCCATGCCCTTCACACCCCCTCCATCTAATCTGATCTCTGGAAAGAGTAAAGGCACAGCTGGGGTAACTGAAAGACCAGGACTGGAACCTAAATTGGGGAGAAGCTCTGAAAGGGACTGAGTGTCTGGGGCAGAAAGCACAAAGTATAGGAGAGCAATATGGGTCTGATGGAGGAAGTCAGGATGTTTGGGGAACACAGCCACTGCCCTGGCTTACCTTTGCTAAAGCACATACTGACAACAGCTGTCACTGATGGCCATTTCCTATAAGCTGACCACTGTTTGAAGAATGTTACATTTATTAACTCTCTGAATACCTACAACTGTATGAAAGAGACTGTTGTCACTTCCCTTAGACACAGAGACACAGAGAGGCCAAGTGACTTGCCCAAGGTTACAAAGTAACTGGATGGATGGGATTGAACCCCACTCATATCCCTCCCCCATGGGAATGCTTTACCAGCCTGTTCCCTGAGTGAAGATGAGGGGAATGTGAGCAAGAGCCTTACATCAGGGTGCTCTCTGGATTGTACGGGGTATTCATATAAATGGCCTAATGTGGCAGGGGGGATGAGGGTGGTTACTGTCGCCTTGGCCTGGAACATTCTTCCCCAATTTCAACAAGCCTCCTTCCTGTGCCTCCTTCAGATCAATACTCAGCTTTCCCTGATCCCAACACTCTCTAGTCCTTCATTTCACTGCATTTTGTTCACCACAGTTATTTCCATTGACTTACTATATATCCCTCTGCTGGGAGTTTATTGTCTGGTCCCTCAGTAAGAAAGCACATTTGCCAATGTGCTCCTAGTACTCAGTAAAGCACCTGGATTGACAAATATTTGCTGATGTATAAAAATGAAACACCACCTTACTTAAATTAACAATGGATCCTCAAAGAAATTACGAATTTAAAAATGCTTTGTGATGAGTGAAAATGAAAACACAACATAACACAGCTGAGGAGAAGCAGCCAAAGCAGTACTCAGAGGAAAATGTATAGCTGTGAATGCCTTTATTGATAAATATTTGTGGGATGAGTGAAGAGATGAGACTAAATTGACCAGACTATCAGAGGGAGAGAGGGGGACATTCAGCAGAGATGATGATAACATGCAGGGGGTGTCCCTAGAAAGAGGAATCCCAGGAGCAGGGTGTGTAGATGCTGAAGAGGATATGGTAATGGGGAATAGGATCCCACAGGCTTATGACAATTTCCACTGTGAAATCAGAGACTCAAGCCTTTTGGGTTTTGGGGGGGAGGGTTGCAGTTTTTGGCGGGGGCCAGGCTTAAACCCACCACCCCTGGTATATGGGGCCGGTGCCCTACTCCTTGAGCCACAGGCACCACCCAACTCAAGCCTTTCTTGAGGTAACTTGTCACAGGAAGGTTTTATACAGAGAGAGACATGATGGGGAGAGACCCTTGCCCCCTCCAAGGGGCAGAAGTCCCATGGCAACCATCTTCACAAGGCTTGTTTATTGCTCAGCCATTTTGGTATTTACCATTGCCTGGATGCCTCATCATAATCCTGTACCATTACGGGTGCCATTTTGTTAAGTGGAGAAATTGAGCAGCAAAGAGGGAAGTCATTCCTGCAAGGTCATGTAGCCAGGAAAGGGGAAGCAGGTATTTGATTCCAGGTTTTTCAGATGCCAGGACCTGTGGGCTATTCTGCTGCAACAAAGCTGCCTGTGATGAAATTCTAGTCTGTTAGTAACAATAATGGTAACATAACATATAACATTGAATGAGTGATTTCTACAAGCCAAGTACTCTTTTAAATCCTTTACAGGTGTTCACTCAATGAATCCCCCCAACAACTCTAGAAGATGGTAACAATTGTTGACTCTGAAATACAGAGGCAGAGAATGAGAGCAAAGAGGTAAATTTCATCTTCCAAAGTCACACCGCTAACAAATGTCAGGGCCAGGAGTTGAAGGCAGACAGTGGGGCTCCAGAGTCCATGCTCTTACCTGATAAACCCTGCTGTGTGTCAAGATTTTACCTTCCAAAATGAAGATGTCCTATGCATATTATAGAAATACACGCTATTTCACCTGCCTCCCTGCCACCTAATACCAAGTCTTGTGGCTTGACCCAACACCAGGACAAGCCACTGACATATGCGGAACTCTAACAAGCATTGTACTGGGGCCTTACATGGCTTTCTCATTAAAACTTCACAATGAACTTATACAATAAGTATTATTGTTATCCCATTTTACTGACAGAAAAACTAAAGCAAACCTTATCCTTCATCTGTTCAAAAGTCTAAGTAACCCCAACTCATTCAAAGTAAGCACCAAAGTCCTTACAATGACATACAGGGCCGGCAGTCTCCTGGTTACTACTCTAGTGTGCCACCTCCATTCCTACCCCCCAGGTTTTGCACTGCCAGGCTATTGCTTCTGCCTGAAATGCTCTGACTCACAGGTATCCACCTTGTTCACTCCTTCACCTCCATTTGTCAGTGAGGTAAGGCTCTCAGTAACCACTGCTACCTGTCACTCAGGCTCACACTCCTGACCTCCCTTATCCTCCTTCAGTTCTCTCCTGACCATTCATCAACATCTGTGACACCATATACTCTACTTCACTGCCTGTGTTTGCTGGTCTCCCCAGACAAAGGGTCAGCTTCATGAAGGCAAGTACTTGTACCCCTTTTGTTCATTCTCTGTCCCCAAGATGGAGTTCCTGGCTACATAAGCATTTGTTGAATAAAGTAATGAGGTTAGGAAAAGAGGGAGTCATTGGCTCAAAGCTGTGAACCCTAGGGAATCCAGGGATAGTCATCTTCACTCTTGGGTGGGAGAAGCTTATTGTGAGCAACCCCCTGGTGGGCTACAGTTGTCCAGAAGAGGTAAATTTACACCCAGGTACAACTTTCTAGTGTGTGGCTTTTTTGAGGGACAAGATGACAAGACATAGGGATCTTCTCAGAAGCCTTCCTGAGACCACAACTCCCATCTTTATCCCCTATATCTACAGTATTTTGCTGCACACATGTGTATATGTTTTGTTTTTTAATCAGCTAGCATATCCATTCCATGAAAACAGAGATTTTTGTCTATATTATTTTCTGTTGCAACCTCAGTACCAAGTAGGTATTGAATAAATATTTATGAATGAACACATGAATGTGGGAGAGATGAATGAAGAACATTCTAACCTTGATAGAGCTGACAAAGGCCAGATAATTTACTCCCATATCCTCACCTCCAAGGCTCTCCCTCCTCATGTTCTTTCCTTCAGTTCTTCTGCTCCAACCTCACTAGGCTCCCTTGCTGCTCCTCCATTTACCACCATCGCAGCCACCTCAGGGGTTTTGCAAGTGTGTTCTCTCTGCCTATTCACCCAAACCAGTGGTTCTCAACCTTCCTAATGCCACGGCCCTTTAATACAGTTCCAGTGGGTCGGACCCACAGGTTGAGAACCACTGACCCAGACAGTTTGTGTGGCTAAAATATCTCTTGTAATTGAGGTTTCACCCCTGAAGTAACTCATCAGGCTCTCAGAAAACCTACTGAACAGCATTTCTCTTATTTACTTGTTATCATCTGTCTCCTTTCAACTGACTGTAAATTCCCACAGACCTGTGTGCATCTCTGTCCTTCATGGCTGTGTGACTGGAGCTAGAACAGTGAATATTCGTTCAATGGAGAATGTATGCCCAAGAAAAAGAGGTCACACTCTAGTGACGCTAAGGAGTCTAGGGTGATGGCATGACACTTGAGTGAAAAGCTGCAGATCGGAACAAGAGTTGATAATCCTCAGGACACAAGAACATTCTGAGAGAGAAAACTCACTGCGGGGCACTGTTCTGTGGCAGAAGTAAAGAAGACAGGAGCTGACCAGGGTAAGGATGACATGCAGGTGAGGCAGGAGTATTTTAACGGAGCCTGGAGCTGAGCAGGCAGATATTCTACCTGCAGGAGCAGGGAGGGTGTGAATATCAATGACTCTAGAGGGAGTTGTTCCAGGGGGGAGTGGATCTGAAAAGGTATTAAGATGAATCACTAGGGCAGTGGTTCTCAACCTGTGGGTCATTACGCCTTTGCGGTCTCCTGCATATCAAATATTTACATTACCAGTCATAACAGTAGCAAAATTACAGTTATGAAGTAGCAAGGAAAATAATTTTATGGTTGGGGGTCACCACAACATGAGGAACTGTATTAAACGGTCGCGGCATTAGGAAGGTTGAGAACCACTGCACTATGGAGTCTGCAAGAGGGAAAAAGGCATTCTTAGTGTTGACAAGGATGGGAAGGGGACATTTACATCAACGAAGGGAACATTCAGAGCAGGGTGGTTAGGAGCTCCGAGTGGTGATTGTGTATAGACAGAGATAATGCGCGGCATTTCTACAGCAAAGCACTAATGCAACACTCTGGAGGCAATCCTGCAGGGGATGCTAACAGAGGGTTCACGACCAGCTGCCCTACATGTCCACGGGGGCACTGCTGGTGGCGTTTGGGGGATGTCCTGGAGTAAGTAAAGAGGGGGACTATGCAGAAGGAATCTTATGAGAAAGCACTAGTTGGAGGCCCTGGGAGCAGTTTGAGGATCGCCACGAATGAAAGCCCCTTGGCAGTCATCCCATCCGGGGGCGTTCGTGGGGTAGAGCTCTGGAGTGGTCTTATGAGGAAGCAGTGATTGGGGGGGCCCTGGCAAGGGCCCGGAGGGGAAGCACTGACATCATGGGGTTGGAGAAATGTTCTGGGAACCAGAGCGGGCCAGGGCGGGGCCCCCCGCCCCCGGGCCCCCGGGCCACACTCCCCGTCACTCACCGGCGCCGGGGTCTCCGCCGGGAGGAGGCCGAGGAGGCGGAAGAAACGCCGCCGCTCCGGGGAGACCCGAGGGCCCGACCGGAAGTGCCGCCCCCTCCTCTCTCCCCGGCAGCCCCGCGCCGCCCGCCTGCCAGCCCGCCCGGAACCGGAAGTCGCGCCTGTTCCCCTAGCGCCGGCGTGGAGTATCGGAAAGAGGAGGCTTTGGCGGCGACAAATAAGAAAAGCGCGCTTGCGCACTGGCTTTAGAACGAGGGCGGGGGCGGGGGAAGCTTAAGGCCACTTCCGGTGAGCTAGCTGAGCCAAGGAGGTCTGCGCCTGTGTGCCCGCGCGCCCGCCTCTTCTTAGGGCACGCCCACTCATTCCGGACATCCGGTTAAGCCACACCTCTCGGTCTGGGCTCACATGTAAGCTCCGCCCCCGATTGTGAACCACGCTTATTTCACAGTTTAACTATTATAAGCTCTGCTTCTTGCTTCAAAATCTGTCCTCTTCTCCCCACCCTCACGCAGTTTCTCCTGTTCTTCTCCCTCTCCAAGCCCCTACTCTTTAGGACTCCACCTCTCCCTCCTAGGCCACGCCCTCAGCCATGCCTTTTTCTTCCACTGCCCTCCTGTAAAGATCCTTGGGCTGAGCCACGCCCCTTGCACTTTACACCTGCCCTTCTACCCATGGCAATTAACCTCTACCTCTTAACTTTAGGGGATAGTTCTTCCTCTAAGCATGCCCTTAAATCAGTAGTTCTCAAATTATAGTTCAGAGGCCAGCAGCATCAATACCAGTCAGTATCTGGCTCCTCAGACCCACTGAACAGAATCCATGGTGATGGGGCCTGGAGACCCGAGTTTGAAATACACTTGGGGCGATTCTGATGCATGCTGACTTTAAGAACAACTGCTTCCGGCTCAGCGCCTATGGCTCAACCAGCTAAGGCGCCAGCCACGTACACCTAAGGTGACGGGTTCGAATCCCCAGCCCGGACCCACCAAACAACAATGACGGCTGCAACCAAAAAATAGCCGGGCGTTGTGGCGGGCGTCTGTGGTCCCAGCTACTTGG